CTCTCCCCCACCACCGTACTGAAATCGGGTCCTGCTGCTTTTGCTGCTGCTGCTGTTGACGTGTCAGGAGTGAGAGCTGCTGCGTCTGAAGGAGAAGCATTCGCTGGACGGGATCCTGAACTGTAGCCTCCAGATCTCTGGTGCCCTCCTCGAGCTCGCCAGTCTCGAGAGCCTCTAGGCCTTCCTCCTGCTGCAGTGACTCCAAAACCTGCTCTGGTCTCTGGGCCCTTTGAGCTTGCTCGTGTGCACAGAACCGCATCGGAGCCGCTCCCGCCAGGCTTCGCAGTCTGGCCAAAGCTTCCTCTCGAGGCTCGGTGTTGGGTATTGCTCGAGCTCCATCGAATAAGACTCCTCGGCTTGGTGTCACTGAAGTCGCAGGACGTCTGGCCAGAGGAGTGGCGGCGGCAGGTGATTGCTGCCTCAACACAGCTTCTAACTCTGACACCCTTCTTTGCAAAGCGTCGAGGTGCACTGAGCCATCTCCTCCAGCACCGGCCGGATCTTCCTCCACAAGGAGTTCCTCTTCTGAGAGCCCTGTCACATAATCTCCAGCTGTATCGTCGTCCATGACCTCGTGAATCCATTGCTCGGCCACCGCTGAACGTCGAGGTCGACAAGGCTGGTCGTTCAGAGCAAATCTCAAGAGCTCGAACGTACTTGAACTGCGCAAGGGATGAGCTCGCATGAACAAGGCAACCATCTCCCAGACCAAATCGACCAGAATGCATGGTCCATCTGCGAGCACTCTGCCCCGTGGAGTTTCCATGAGGACCTCGGTGGGGTAAATGGCACAAGCCTCTGAACCATCGGAGGTGCACTGCTCTCTCAAAAACTGGGTGACCTCGACAAAGTCTGGTAGGACCACCATGAAGCCGCCGGAGCGAATCCTCACCAAAAAAGCGGTGACCCGCAACCCTGTCCCATCTTCCTTGGCCGGCAAGACCAAGAAAAGAGCTGGCAGCTGCCCTGAGGGAGGGACAGAATCCCACAGGGCACGTAGTCCCAACTCGTCTAAGGTCGGCGCAGGAGCGCCGGCCATGAGGTACGCCTCCGCCTCAGCACGCAAGGGCGTCTCCGTGGATGTCACCGTGGCGCCCAAGCACCTGATCTCTGAAGGTCAAATAGTGGTCAGTCCAACCGGCCTGACCACTGGGGGCAGGCTCCAGGATGATGTAGATCTTTGAGGGCAAGGTCAAAGCGGATGTAGTCCCAGCTGAGCAACGACCACGGTCCAACTTTTCCTTAGCTTGCACTCCAGCTCTCAATGCTCGACCCAGACGTCCGAGTGGGCTCCAGCCGTTGCTACTGCTGCGAATGTGCGGCAGCAAATGAGTGACCGGGCTCAAATCCAGACCTTCGATCTCTTCCGGAGTGAGGGCAGCAATCAGGGCCCTCTCCCACTCCGGAGTGTGAGGCGCAAAAGCTGAAGCTCCAGCCGCAACAGGCTCCCAAGATCCAGGATCAGAGGACGCTGCTGAAGTAGTTGAGCCCTGCTCAACTGTGGCCCGCGCAGGGCCTGCAAGGGCAACCTGAGGGGGGGACCCTGTAGTAGAAGGCGCTGCGGCGCTGCCAGCGCCTGCTTGATAACCTCCTGCTCTCTCAACTCGGATCCTGAGATCCTCAAATTCCACAACTAGCTGGTCCAGCTGGCGATCAGGCCCCATGCACAGCACGATACTGCCCTAGCCTGCGCCTCAAAGTGTCGCCTTGAGGAAGAGGATCGACCAGAGCGGCAGCGCACCCAGAAATGAGCCAGCTTAGAACTCTTCTGCAAGAAGCCGAGAGCGCAGTCAAAACCACGAGGCCCCCACAGATGCAGCTCAAGCAGCAAGCCAGGATGAGGAGTAAGAGCACCAAGGACCAAGGGAAGGCTGAGGCCAGAGGAGCTGCACTGATCGGTCAAGTATGCACGAATGGCTTCAAGAGCAAAGGTCAAGCTCATTGACCACCGCTCGAACCAAAAGACTTTGAGCGGTGAAAGCTATATATATATTCCTTTTTACGGGAGTCGCTGCTCTTTTCGTGCTCTAAAGCAGGCCACTTGTGTTTGCTCAAGGCACACAGGATCACTGCATCTCGCCCTGCCTCCCTCCCTTCCTCCCTCCCTCCCTCCGTCCCTCACTCCCTGTGAGCAGCTCCTTGCCCTGCTAAAAGGTTCCACGTTGCAATGCACACCACAAGCAAGTTCTGTAGAAAACTAACACCGCACCTCTGACTCCCACGTGTATGGCCTTGGACTCTGTATCTACTCGTGTGGCATCCCAAACTACACATTCCAAGAATGAACTACTGTGGAGGTCTCTCCAAGCTCACTTGAGCCCGACTTCACGTTAAGTGTGAGTCTGAGATCAAGTGAAAACGAAACTCATGCAACACTTCGGCAATCCTCCGTTTAGCAAACACTTTAGGAAATATAAAGCACTGTCACGCCACTTCGCTTCATGAGAGTTTACGTCCGGCGGTTTTAGGCAGAACATCCCGGCCCTTAGAGTTGACTCTTCCAAAGATAAATCTCAGGGTCCCCTGCAAGAAGGGGGTCGGTGGGTCGTGCTACCCTAGTTTTGAACTACATAATTTACAGAAACTTCCTGCAACCTTCAAGAATAGATTATAGACTCCATTTGGAGATATACCTGTATACCTTTCAGAATCCCAAAATGGACGTGACATATGGACCACAGGAAGACCACATTCCTTTACGAAATGCTGTGTACCCACCCACACCTTTGTCATACCGCCAGGCCTCTTCCTCGTGGATCGCGGCTACCTTGGTGTCCTCATCCACATCTTCCAGCTGCCAGCGGACACCGCCGGATTCGCGCGCCTGACACCAGAGCAGCTCCCAGATTGGGTCTGAGGACGGTGGAACCACAACTTGAAGCATAGTATTAGATCATCAGATTGCGGGGCAAAAAGCCAAGCTTGCAAACTCCACCTTTGATTCATGTCTACGATTGTAAGAACAAACATTGTCACTGACAATCAGCGCACCCCAAAAGTGAGCAAAGGCTGCAAGATATCCATATTGTTGACTTTAATTCTGAAGTCCCCTACCCTCAAACACACCAGGGGCCATATGTAGCCTTTTCTTTCATGCTCAAAGCATGTCGTGAGAGATTCCCCACGCCCGCAGCTTTCACCGAGTTGTCTGATGAGGCCAACAGTTTAAGGCACCGACACATCACCTCACCGCACCACATACTCAGGCACGAAACCCTACACCACACGATACTCTTACACCATCCGTCCCCACCTGAGGCTGGTGAGTCTGCTCAGATTCGGCTGCTTCCTAGGCAACGCCGGAGTCATGAAGAGGCAAACAAACCGCGGCCTTGAAGCAACGATGGAAAAATAATGAAGGATTCCGATGTGGATTTCGTCGCTTCCCATGCTCAGGGCCTGACTGGCTCTTTGGTCTCCGGCATGTTGATGGTTGAACTCTCCGGTTCAGGCTCCGCATCCTGAGTGGATGGAATCACTCCACAAAGGCGTTTGGTAGAGAGTAAGAGCTCTGTGGCTTTGTATGTGGGAGATCATCCTGCATTTCGTCCCCACCTAAGTATCCTTTTGAGTATCCTCCCTCTATCCGACTCTGTCCCCATGTGGGGCCAAGTCATCTAGAACATATGTGGTTTCTGGGCATCCCGCACGTGTATCGAGCCAACCTGGCTGTGCACCCATTACGGAGAGAACCAGCTGGAGAGCCTGAAACTGAGCCTGATGTCTTGGGGCGAACCGAAGGCCGAGCATCCTCCGCAAAGGAGTGAATGGATCCACCGCGAAGGCCCTTCTCGGAATGCTCTTGAATGCCCTCCTGCAACTTGACGCCAGCACCCCCAAAAAAATGGCCGGGCTCATCTACCTCCTGGAACCTAGATGTATAAATTCTCAGGGTTCCCCTATCACAAAACAAACCTATGAATGAAGGGACCGACAGCACTATAGAATAGACAGACAGTCAAGAAGAATCAAAACAACTGGACTCGGCCAAGCATCCTTCTTCTCATCATCCACATCTGCAACCTGCACGCGGCCACTTAGGTTCTGGTCTGAGGTTGCTAAAGCAAACAGCCGGCAATTCTGCTGACCAATGGTCACTGGTCTCCAGTATTTCTTTAGGGTTCGTTTATTGTAATTTTGAACCTTTAACCCATTTGTGGGTCTTCTCGGCCACACTTGGGTGGGACGCATCCGCCTCCACTGGCACTGGCACCACAGGATTTAGTCGTTCTTGCGGATCTTCCACGTCCTTCTCCATTGGACAGAGATAGAAGAAGTCTCTAAATGATTGGCGGCAAGTAGGGTAGATGAGCAAAATCAAGAGCAGCAACCCTTGCCCACTGCCATGAAAAATGCTCATCCCCACCCAGCCAGAGGAATCATAGATGATTCCACCAAGAGTGCAAGCCAGTGCAATGGACACGGTAAAGATCGCCAGTGCTGTGCTTGTGGCTTGACGTGCGAAGTCATCCGACTCGGAAAAGGCGTCAAACGCCTCGGTTCGTGTGACCCAGTCACCCAGTCTTTCATTCATCGTCTACCATGGTTCTGGGGTCCCTACCATCGCTTCATCTGAACAAGCGATCGCCTCAAAAATTCCATCTTTGTACAATATATATATATATATGTTCTAACCTCTTCTAACCTCCCAAAGTCTTCTGCATAAAGGCACATAGACGGTCACCAGACCCCCCACATGGACGTCACCATGCCGGGTGACGATCCCCTCGATCGCAGATGAGGAGTCGAAACCGCAAAGGCACACGATCTCCACACAGATCGCCCATTCCTGCCGCACATGAGCTGCACACGAGCCGCGGCAACAGTCAGTGACAAAAGGATGCCAAAGGTAGAGAAAGCTGAAATATCCACTCTACTGCTTGAGGTAGGAATATCTTGTTGGAGTAGGTCCCTCGAATAAAGATACACTGTTGTTTGCCGATAAACCAAACTACTCCACGAGTCTTCGACGGTGCTCCGCTTCAGAAACTCAAACCAACGTGCGCCCATCAAAGACGTTCGACTTGCATTAAGAGTCTACAGAGGCGAAGGGGTCACATATGGCCTGATGCTACAATCTTAGTGTATCGATCTAAAAACTATGCAGTCATATGCAGTCTAATTTGAATTCGGCATTCAAGGGGAAGACTTTCTGAACTGATGAACCACGGAGTACCACCTAAAGATGGTGTATTCAAGAAACGAAAAGGAACGGTGACCCTCTGGTGCACTCTCAAGGTCTCTTAGTCTCATAGCTGTCTAACACGAGCTCCTAGGATCTGCAACACCAGTCCTCGGTGGTAAAGCCAATGGCCAAGACTGCACCGATCAAGTGCAACCTGAGATCCGAAGACTCACAGAACACACTCTCCTTTCTCTAAAGCATGAAAACTGTTCCACAAACCGGTCAGAAGCTAGGCTGCTAGGTGCCATTATTGAATACAAAGAAAAATGAAGATAGGTGATGACAAACTATGTACACTGAGGAAAGGAAACCCAAAAGCTGGATACAATTGCAAAAAGGCCATGTGTTCCTTGGCAAGTTTGCAAATGCCACAGCTTTCCTCAGGCCACGTGACATTGACATAGGCAAAGCTGTCCATATCCCAAGCTGCACTTGAATGTATTGTGAGAAGAGGCGCAAGCAAAAGCCCACCGCAAGAGAAATGCCAAGGTGCCACAAAGGCCAGTTCATATCTCTGAAGTAGAGTGCTTGTGCAGACCTTCAGGGTACAGGACAAAGCTGCAGTTAAACATATTGAAGACCAAATGAGAAGTGTGAATATCGTGTAGCTGTCCCCTTTCTTATTATGCTATGTAAGGAAATGTGAGACCTGCCAAGTATTCCAACAGCCGACTGAGGAACACGGGTTCGTAGCATAAATTCGGTTTGAAAGGGTGAAGAAGTTTCACAACTCCCGGCCCGGCAAACCCATTGATGAAGCCATTCAGTAAGGGCAAAGAAATACACACCACCAAATACTTTAGAGTGCAAGGCAATCTCTCAACATCGTCATAATAATCCATGTCATCAAATTCATCCCACGCATCTTCTACGGGTTTCATGACGATGCGCCCGCAAAGGCCACTTCGCGTGTCCCGCGCCGGAAATTGCTAGCGCATATTCTGGTGAAACGAACGAGTGGAACCGAATCTGTTTGATCCAACTCTGCGAGGTTTGACCCCAGATGTCCGGAGGAGTGAAACTCTGTCCAACCAAAAAAGATCAAAACTCTGCACTTGGTGCGACATGCCGGCTCGAATCTGATGTCTTAGTCTTAGTCAAAATTTTCGAAATCCTTGCCCCCATTGCCCAACAATTGAGCACAATTCAACCAAAAATGTGGACGATTCTCCCAAATTTGAAGGGTATTTTATGAGGGTGGACCAAAAAAAAACCGTCATCCCAAGTTTGGTCAGATCATGGTCAAGACTGCAAAACGATTGTGTTTAACAAAAGCATACAAAACTGAACACCGTGCATGACCCTCCGAGAACAATGAGGTGCAAATGCAATATGTGTCGTGTGGCAAGAAGTCAACCGAAATGTGTTTGTTGGAGATGACGCAAAAAAATAGATACAATAAATAATCCATTGCACCCTTTGAACAACAACAAATATATTTAAAAAAACCGTCTTACCAACAGCCCCAAAATTCTGGCGATTCAAATGTGCCAGCAAAATGCCTGGGCAACTTGCATGCATACAACACCTGTCCTGCATCAGTCACACGTCCAGAGAACTCAAAACAGAGAACAAAATCCGAAGTTGACTTAAATTTGTAATGACAGTAGACCCACATGGCCACCTCACATCTCCAAGCTTGCCATGGAGAGTGCACGTTCGCGGTTGTTGATTGATTGGTGTTGATCCAAAGGATTAATTAGAAAACCAATTTCACCAGCAGAGACCCGAGACAGCAAAAGACTTATGCGGCAGCAAAACGTCAGGCAGCAACTTCTTTCACTTGAACCGAGCGCTATGCGGTGACAAGTACAGATACCCACAAGCGACTCCAAATCCACACTATACATGTCACATCTATGTGTATGTCTCAGAATGTAAAAAAGGTTGACACCCCGCCTTGATGCAAAAACGCTTTAGTTTCTGCATCACCCTCCCTTTGTACCCTTGTGGGATCGGGATCTACCAACTGCAAGGTGGAACTCCCACAAATTCATTCAACTGCCATCTGTAGCCTTCTTTTGCACGAGTATGGCTGCCAGTCATCGCAGGAATGCGAAGGTCAGCTACTGAAGAGATTGAAGATTTCCCTGTGGTCAAACCAAACCAAAAGCCAAAACAAACAAACAAAAACCACAACCACCAAAACAAAAACAACAAAAGACCAAAAAACAAAAAAACACAGCACCAAGCAGACCAAAACAAGAAATCTTATAGATCTCTCGGAGGTCTTTTCTCCATGCACTTGAATTACTTCTGTGTGAAACGCAGCTAGGCGTGGATGAATTGCCAAGGAAGCAGCTCCAGCGTGGCATAATTCATAGAATGCATCCGAGGGGTGGCAATTTGGACAGTCTATGCAAAAGGCGTCAATCGCGACAATTTGTAAGTTCTAGAGATACTTACAATGTTCAACTTGAGGCCAAGGGGGGGGCGAAAGCTAGCGCTCCAGAATGGGAAAGTGGAGGGCAGCGAGGTAGGAAAAAACACGGCGCTCTTTTTGGAGGCAGGGGTGAAGAGTCCTTTATATGTGGCTCTTTGCCCGAATCCTC